TGGGTGACCCACAGAGGTCCCTTCCAACCCCTAACATTCTGTGATTCTGTGATCCTTTAACCCTCACCGGGCAGAAACGGCTCTTCTGGCTTTGGCCCAGACCGAAGTCTGTCCCGCAGGTGCAGAGAATCCAGGGAACTTGGCTGATGCATGTGCATTTGATAGATGCTATGTGACTATCTAGCTATTTTAGAATCTTATATATGCACATATATAAAACAGTAAGGACTAACATGAATTTAAGATGTAACTGCAAACATTCATTTTTACTCCTTTGTGGCACCTTGGCCAACATTGAGATAATAATTGCATAAGGCAGCTGAAAGCCATGTTTCTCTAGAGTTGTCTACAAAGCCCAAAATGCCATCACATTTAACCTCCCCAGCTCCAGCCAGGCTGGTATGACTAGATGGCATGGCACAGCGTGATTAAAAGATAACAACTTGCCCTCCCCAAACCTGGACAGCCACTAGTCAACTTGAAATAGTGACAAACTGCTTCTAGTATTGGAATAAATTCAGCAGCAAACAGCTCGCAGAACTCCCCACAATCCCCTGATATTTTACAGAGAGAAACTCTCTCTCTGGGAGATGTACAAACCACAGCAGAGCCATGGAAAGTAGTTGGGGGAAAGAAAAAAAATGTGAGATGTAGAAATATTTCTTCAAAATCTAATGCCAAGATAATGTGTCTCTTCTGTCAAAATACAAACAAAAAACACTGCTTAGTGTTTAGTACCCCACACTTCTCTCCTAGAATAAGCATTAGCAGGAAGGGAGGGGGCAAATCAAAATTTTTTCTTAGAAATAACAATTACAAACTTGAAAATCAGCTGGGTATCAGAAGAAGAGCCTATTACAACCACAATACCTAAACGTGTAGACCATATGCCATGCACTTTTTTCACTGTAAATGCAGTGTGCTATGCCTTAGGGGCTGAAAACTGCTGCTCTTTTAATCTCTATGTTGGTACAACTGTGTTTGTAGAAGATGCTCAGCAACGAGATGAGTTTAAACTCATTAATTAACCTTAGTGATTACAATTCATCAGAGAAGATGGCTGCAGTCATATGACAGAGGTTATGGAAATACGCTGAAGTGAAATCAAAAACCTTGTGAATGGAAGAAAAGAACAAGGGCAAAACCTAGCATGACACTTCACACTGCAGAAATACTTTAAAGATATTACACAAATTTATTTGAAAAAGAATGAAAGCTGTTATGCAAGTCGCTATCATGCTCTTTCTCTCTCAGCTCTCTGATTCTAGAAATCAGAGTTAGAAAAGATCAACTAAATCCTGTCTTCCACCTGCTATAAAAATATTTTCTTGTAGTGGTTTATTAGCTTCTAACCCAAAAGAACTGAAACATTTTCCATAAATATGGCTGTACATCACTAACATAATACAGCCTGCAGGCAGCTACTGGGATTTTTGCAGGATTTTCCCTATTACTTATTTCCAATTCAAAATAAATTCCGTATAGATAATGGTTGCTTTATCCTCCCTGGAGAGAACAGGATTTTTATGATCAAGCTACAACAACTGCTGTTTTTTTTAAAAAAGTTTCCACTGTTTTTGTAACTTGATTGCTCCTACAGCATTTCAATTTCACGTTGCACCTAGATAATATTACCATGGTACATACCCTGCAGTTTCATATATTCAGTTTGTGGAACACCTAAGGAGTTTTGCAGTAATGGCAATCAGCACACTGCCTCTCTCCCCCTGTGCCTTACATCTTCTCTTCTGTGAATGTTTTAAAGTACACTGTTCCTTTTGCCTTTAGTTTGTTGTATTTCTCTGCTTTAACATTGAATGAATTTTTGGTCTTTGAGATGCAAACCACAAATTACAGTAATACTGTTTGGTTTGCAGCAAATGTGTATGGCTTTATAATAAGCCATTAGGATCTAATAAGGAGACTTGCTAAAGTGGGTGTTCATTATGCATCCATCTCAAAACCAAAAGAAACTCCACTTCTCATCTCTTTGGAAGCATTCCTCCAGTTTCTCCCCCACAGCATTTTTCTTGTTCATGCTTAACCGGCAGGAACTAATTTCTGTCTTTCTTCCTTAAAGAATGCAGACCAAGGAAGTGCCAAATTCAATCACGAAAGCAGTAGCTGGTTCAACACCCCTTCTGACGGTTCTTGTAACTTCAGGAAGGCTACAGGGAAAGGAAATATGAGGAATCCCAGAAAACTTGCATCAGGGAAAGAGGTTTGTCCTTTCCTCAGACAGTCATCAAGAAATCAGTCTTGAGGGAAGAAAAACACAGGAACATTTTAGTTTGCTCCAAATTACTTCTTAAGCCTTGCCCCATAAGTCAGTATCTACTCATCCTGAGTTCAGCGGGTTGCATATGATGACATGTAGAGTCGCAGAGGACAGAGAACATGGCAGGACGAGACCCTGCCTAAGATTGCATCATTAAACACAGCTTTTCACTCCCGCTCTGTGACGCTGAACAATCTGCCACAACCTGAACCCATCCATCTGCAGATTGCCCCCACGCTACACACCCATTTGCAGAAGCCAGTCGAAACTCTCTTTTTTGCCTCTCCTCACATTTTTACCCAATTCATTTGTGTAAAGCATCCTGCAAAGGGGGGGGAGGAGCGGGAAACAAGGCAAATTATAATTGATTAATCGCAACTGAATAGCTTTGAAAAGTCTGAGACTTCGTGGGGGGAAGGGGGACAATGTGTCATTGAGGTTTCTGTCTTACCGCATGACAAAATCTGCTTGATCTATTTGTTTGCCGCAGCCGCTCTTTTTCAGGATCCCACCGTTTCCCACCACAGAGCATTTCTTCAGTGGCAGCTGGAAGGGAGTAGCCTAGCAACACAAAACAAGGAGCAGTTTTACAGAGGAGAACAAACACATCTTTGTAGTAGCTGGTCCTGGAGGACCCAGGGAGCTGGCAGGGCTTAAAGTGACGAAAGAAAAGAGATAATTAGGAGCTGGGGGGGGGGGCTAGGGGGGGGAAGTACAGAAATTAGCTGGTAAGTAGACATAGGGCAGTTCTTACTCCCACTCTCCAAATCAGGACACAACAAACACGGTACAGAAGACAACGACATCCCGGCAAAATGAAAACTGCCTAAAGTCGTGCTGCAGACACTGACCAAGCCAGGCAGAGTGAGCCTTCCAGCCAAGGTGCAAGGACACAGGAAAATAAGACAACCAGGAAAAAAAAAAAAAAAAAAAAACTAGAAGGTGACCTTCCTGAGCTGATATACAAAAGACAGCTATGAAAAACAGCTCTGTGCAAGAAAGGAAGGAAGGAACAAGGAACTAGGTGATGACAGAAGGGCACTGGGAATCAGGAGTCACCCTGGCTCCCTCCATGGTTCTGTCACTGGGATGGGTCACTCCGCAGCCTTAGGCGAAGATATTTAGAGCTTGACAGCAGCTCCTTAAACACTCCGCTGCCCAGACACAGCACAAATTAAAATTAGAAAGGCACCATTTTAACTAAGGAGCTCTTGTAGCCGCTTAGCAGGGCTTTACAGTGCAAGGTCAAATGTTCATGCTATCCTATGCATCAAACACAATAATAAATTATATCCATATAGTCGTCTTCATTTCAGACAATCTCAAAACTATGGCTGAGACATCCTCCTGTCAGCCTCACGTCATTCACCTTTAATGAGGTCGGCACAGTCATTTCAACAGCACACAGTACATTGATATAGCCCAGCGTATTTTTTTTTTTTTTTTTTTAAAAAAAAGGTGGTGAAAAGACATGAATTTGAAGTAGTGTGATCTAGTTATAGAATTTGTCTACAATAAAAGAGCTAATATTCTCCTCACACAAAAAAAACGTGCAGGGATTTTTTATCAAACCTGTGAAAACCTAATTTTGCAGTAGAGACAAAAGTTACCACACGGGCTTCCAAGAACGCGAATGCCACGGCGACAGGACACAGCATGCAAACCAATTCTCCCCTCCTGGAGGGCAAGGCAAAACGGCAGCAGCACTTGTCCTCACTTACATGTACAAAGCAACGCCTACCACCGCATCATGTCTCATTTCTTTTCTTCCTTAGATTTATTTGCTTTAGCTCCTTTTCTCAGCAAACTAGATTCCATGCAGCTAGGATAAAGACAAAACCTGCTTTCTAACAAAAAAATTAAAGCACTTTGCTTATCCTAACTCTGGATTAAGATATGCTAAAGCAGAAAAATATATTTAAGTTTCCTGAAGCCCAGCCACCATTAGGAACACAGTGATAGCATGGCGGAGCAATACTGAGTATGTAACTGCATTCTTGTCCTGCATCTGCCTTCTCTAGAACATTTTTTAATTTACACAGTTATTGAACTAGAAGCCTATCTTCATATTGAAAGGACATCTCATCTCCAAGATGACCCTGACCAAATGAGAGCTCACATACTCAGTAAGGGGGGGTGCAGGGGTGGGAATCAGAGGAAATGTAGAAGAGGTATGTTTTATAAATAACAGTACCTTTCTCATTCAAGATATATCAAAGCTCCTTCCAAGACAGCTAGTTATACAAACGCAAGGCTGTGACAAATCATAGACAAAGGCAGCAGCCATTAACTCTTGCTTTTAAGGGTTGTGGACACACTGCTGTTTAAATTATGTAGTTTTAGTATGCATCGAGTGCATTTAGACCCCCAAAATAAACATTCTGGAGTTACTAAATGCTTCTAAATTGTGTGAGTTGCCAACAGCGTTTGATATTGCTTGAGATGACTTGCTGTCCTTCAAGGGAGACTTATGTCCTGTTATGCTCAAAGATGATAATATTAGTTGTCATTTGCATACACACCTTAGTTTCCTAAAACACGTAAAGCTTTGAAATGCTTGTCTTTCAGAGAGTCCAAGAAACAAAAGGACAAGATCAGGGCTGCCTGGGTGATTTGAGGGAGCCAAAGGAAAGCAGAAGAGGCAGATAAAATCCCCATGGTGGTTGTCCCCCTGCCTACCCTCTGCAGAAATCCACTTACTTTATGGGCATAGGAGGAAAATGAGGTTGAACACAATACTCTGTAAAAAGCCACCACGCCCACAAGAGTCCACAGAAACTTCTGCCTTCTCCAGCAAAGTACTGAAAATTCAGGGCATGGCACAGACATCGGACAGAGCCTACACACCACCATTCAGCTTAAAATATTCAACACATGCATTTTCCAGAAGACCATACTTACAAACTTTACGCAGATGTTACGCAAAAGACCTAGTTCCAGAACCACAGTGGTGGAGGGGTTTGTAAAGGCCTAAAGGCTAAGTGACCCTGGAAGCATTTCAGCTGCTTTTAGCTTAATGAAGAGCAATTGCTTAGGACGACCTGGGAGAAACGTGCATTTGTTATTTGCAAGTGATAAGACATTCAAATCACAGATCTGTATTATTGCTCAGACAGCAGCGGCATTTCAGGAACTCTGCCCTGAGCCTGTTTGTCCAAACAAACTGCCCGGTCATACACAAATCACACAAGTCTTAAACTCAAGTGTTACCCATAAACGACTACAAGACATACGGCTCCTTCTTCACTCTGCAAAAGGGATTTCTCTTTTCCATCTTTCAAAGGAACAGGCTCCTGGGCTTTGAAATTGTCAGGAAATCACCATCCTGCAATCCCGTTAGCAGCAGCATACCCAACCCACTGCAGGACGTTAGCGCGATGGCACACACTTCCCTCCCCTCCATAGCCAAAGGATGTTCACGGGACAGATGGCACAGATAAAGACACCCGGAGGCTCTTCAATGCTAAAATGCTGCGGGCTTCATTCTGTGGCTTCCCATAAGCATTCAGCTCATTGCTTCCTTTGGGCTGCCCAAAATAGGAGGTGCAAACAGCTTAAATAAAATTGCAACATAATTCACCAAAAGGTAGTTCCAGCCCTAACACGCAATAGAACTACTCAGCTTGGTACCAGCTTTCTACATCACTATTGGGCTGTCAGGACGTCTCCCTGCATCCTCTAGCTGTTTCTGCTGCTGGCTTGTCAGGGTATGCACTGTGGAGTTAAGGTAGAATTCAATATTTAATTAATTATCAAAATCTGGAGTGATTTTTTTTGCTCTAAGGATAAGAAACCATAAAAGATGGACTCCAATAATGATTGGTTTCCTCAAGCCAAATGATCTTATGCTATCTTCATGGTGTGAGTGATCTGCCTTCAGATCTTTTGCATGTTTTGTCGGGGCTGAAGGGTTAGAAGAACGCTACAACTCGCTCCAGAATTAAACTGGGTTCACTTTTCTTGTAGAATAGACTTGGCCACTACTTGTAATTTCAGTAAGAGGTAATTTTCAATTAAGAGTGTTATATTTTTAAGGTGATGGTGCTATTTGGAGATAATACTATAAAGTAAACCCAAGTTTGCTTCTAGGTTTCTGCTACCGGCAAAATATGTTTCACAGGACTTACAAAAACCTTCTCACGCTTTCCTTCTTTACCTCCCACAGCATAACTTTTTGCTAGGCAAACTGTCAGTTCATAGTTAACAGCATATAAGTTCTCGCAGTGTGGGGACCCAGCTGTCATTTATGCTAAATGCTCACAAAAAGCTCAGTTGTTTTTCTCCTTAGAATTGTAAGCTGGCCTGAAAAATGCTGGCTTCGGACTGTAAAGTTGTAACAAAAGCATTTCCATTAATTTTAGCTTCCTGAAACTCTGTTATTTTCATTGTCAACACATTTGTTATTTTCTTCATTCATAAAATTTTAATGAACAGCCGGAGTCTTGTGGGTGGACTAGAAAAAACAGCGCAGCATCGGTTCATCTACTGTAACAGAGAAAATGTAAAAAAAAATTACCAATTCACCTCCATTTTTAAGCAATCACTACCACAGGATTTGCAAATACTGTAAACTAAAACCACCTTGCGTATTGCAAATCATCAGGATGAATTCCCTTTACAAGCAAGTTTCAAGTAATTTTAAAAAGGATTTAATAAGGTGGTTTTTAAAAGGCATCTTCCAAGACAGAAAGGCCCCACTGTCTCATTTTCCTTGTTTTAATACAATGAAACTCCACTGATAATCAATGAAGATGTTCTAGTTCATATTCATGTAAACAAAGGAAGAACCTGTACAGCCCCCTGTGAATTCAGTGACAAATTAGCACACAAAGCAACAGATTAAAGACTCCCAATTGAATATGGGACTAATCTAACAAAGCATCTATCCAGCAATTCACTGATTAGTTTCATCATTCACCCAAGCAGAAATAAATCATTGTCATCAGTTAAAAGAACATTACACAGTACTAACAAAATATAATTTATTTTAGATAATGCTACTCTAATTCACTCTGATTTCATTGTTGGGTTGTTAATGCACTAATTTTTTGCCCACTCCCTGCCAAAGACTTTAATCAGCAACCAAGTTCTTCCTGGGAAAACAGTAAAAATTACAGTATTCAGCCTCTGATTTAATGCTGGAGATGTCAAAAACATTGAAAACACTGAGAACATAAATTAGAATAAAATGGGTTTTTAAATAAGTATTTTGAATTTGCAAGAGATGCTGTGATTTTACTGTCCCTTTGAACAGGCAGCATCCTGACGAGCAGGGAGCTGTTCCACCGATTTTGCTAAGGAGACAGCAAAATCCCGAGAGTTCATAAGAAGCCAAATTCCGCTCTTAATGAAACAGTTTCTTGCACCTTTGCATAAGGAAGCAGCTGACACCTGAAAGGATAGCTCTGTGTGCCAGCCACAGGCAACGCGGCGTTGGTTTTTACACTGTCAGACATGGCAGGGTAGCAAATGCTCCTTCTGCATTGTTTACAAATCATCTTCGGTCTGATGGGCCTTTTGTTCCTCCTACAGACTGTCAAGACGTGACAGCTTGATGGCAA